CCTTGGCTGCTGCAGTGGCCTGGTGTGGCCTGTCTCGGCTACTGCAGTGGCCTGGAAGCCTGCCATGGCTGTTGTAGTGGCCTGGCAGCCTGCCATGGCTGGTGCAGTGGCCTGGCATGGCCTGCCTTGGCTGCTGCAGTGCCCTGGCATGGCCTGCCTTGGCTGGTGCAGTGGCCTGGCATGGCCTGCCTTGGCTGCTGCAGTGGCCTGGCATGGCCTGCCTTGGCTGGTGCAGTGGCCTGGCATGGCCTGCCTTGGCTGCTGCAGTGGCCTGGCATGGCCTACCTTGGCTGCTACAGTGGCCTGGCAGCCTGCCTTGGCTGCTGCGGTGGCCTGGCAGCCTGCCTTGGTTGTTGCACACAGCATGGTAGCGTGCCTTTGCATATGCAGTGATGCTTGTGTTTTGTTCGGTTCAAGTTATGCGTGTGTTTTGTTCAGTGCAAATATCGAAACAATTATTAGGTTGAAGATAGTAAAAGCATACCTCATCTAGTTGTTGTGCTTCCTTGCAACTATTGACTATGTCAAGCATAAACTTCATTACGTATAAGGCACAGTCAACTCCGTTGTCTTGTTGCGCACACTGACATGGCACAAAGGATATCAAATCATGCATAGCGATAACCGAAGCCAAGTATATTAAGCAAATCACTAACTCAAGGGATTACCTTTGCATATTCCCATGTAGGACCCGCAACAGAACGACGATTTCGCTTCTTCATAACACTTTAGGAAAGTACGTTCAAAGTTAGAAACATATATACTCAATGATTTTGGTGAGGTAAAACAACTGTAGGAAGCAATATCTACCTATTCAATATATTATTCACTAACAACCTACGTGGTGGATTCTGACGAAGTGAATCAAAGTGGTAGATTGTGTATTTGGAAACACAAATCACCAAAAGGGTCCAATGAGAACTGCATATATTGAAAAACCGTCAACAACTATACGCCGCAGTTCGTTAAAAAAAGAATAACTGAATTTATGACATTTGTAGACATACTCCTCAAAACACGGGGCTAATATGAACTTATCTCCCGCAAGCGTTGATTCCTTGATACTCCGTTCAAGGTAATCTTCAACATCACGAGGGCTGCATAAGCATCTGGTAAGCGAGGTCTGCTCGGGGCAAAGCCAGCCAACTGCAGCCATAGAATCGCCACTGGTTCTAAGGTGCTCTTGTAGTGCCCTTCATGACAATATTGTTGGGAATTATCATTAAAAGCTTTCATTACATTTGAAAATGCAATAGAATGATGGAAATGTTAAGCATGGCACCGGATAGAAATTCCTTCACATCCTCTTTTGCAATTGGTGCGATCCCATCCTCATCATAGTGGAACAAAGCCTTAGGTAAAATCACTTCAATAGATCTACCCCTAGGCAACTCACTCACTCGGTTGTGAAGAAAAGTACAAGCTCTAGATAGCGAATTCAGGATGCCGGCTTCTACTAGTGGAGTACAACTCGTGGCAAAACTTCTCGAACTCTTCTTCAACCCTTGTCCTTGTTCCATGTTCTTTGTAGGTTGGACGTTCTTAGATTTTGGCTTCTCCACCTTGTTCCTATTAGATGACTGATTTTCATTTGTAACAAAAAAAACACATGGTTATATTATAAGCTATTTGGGACATGTTTTAAACACAAAGCTAAGTAGTGTACACTTACCCCTTGTATCAACCTCACCCGATCATGTGGCCATTGCACAAAGCTACCTTTTGCATCAAGCAGCGTGATGAAGTCATATTCCTCTCTAGGCACCGGTAATGGCAAATCCTCAAACCCTGGTACAATGGAATTGATCCCGACCGAGATATAGTGGGTACTAGTATTAGACTTAAAATGGCAACTGTCAAACGGTTGTGCGCTACCATACCCCACCAACTCTCCATCCACGTTTTTGTCGGGGTGAAGAAGCTCACAAGGTGTCTCTTCCTACACAGTTCATCGGGACAAGTTATGAACTACTTAACCAGCGTAAGCTAATTTGTAGACATTTCATTAAGACTTGAAGTTTACCTGAACATTTGGAAAAGGATCAGGTGTCTGGTTTGCAATCCCCCTTGATTCTGCATGCTGAGTAGGAATCTGCAATAGTAAAATAAATATGGAACATAAGGACTCGTTTGATGATATGAAGTTCATGTTCTCAACTGTAATTCAATTACCTCGATATCATGTGGATTGTCCCCGGCATCTTCTGGGTGACTACATGAGTCCACTGGGGTTATCGAGGACAAAGAAATGGTTGGCAAGTTCATGTGCTTCAAAATGGCATTGAATTGACTTTGCAATTGTTCTTGCACCTCTCTACGTATCTCCACCTTAATTGACTCCATTTCCTTGGCATTTATATGGTGGGGCGAATTAACACTAGATCTAGTTCTTCCTGATCTAGTGTATTCTGAACCCATAACCTTTTCCCACCCTAGTTGTTTCCCTCCTGCACCAATGACTCGCCCAGGGTGGTATGGTTTTCCCAACGCCAGGGTAAAAGGATCGTTCTCTACGCTTGGAGTGAGCTTGCCTTCAACCACTTCCGACGTATGCTCGAGTTGCAACAACACAAAAAATTTCCAGTTCTAAGTTAGTTGTAGTTTCTACGGTAATATTTTACGATAATTGTGGAATATTACCACAAATGTCAAAGGGTCCTTACTAGTGCATCTGCTACTGGCCTTGTATCCGGGTGCATGACGTACTTCCCGGTGTTCTTGTCGATCCCATGCATAGCACACCACCAATCATTTGCACGACTTACTAAACTGGTGACCGTGGAGGGAAGCGGTTTATCAAATGACGATATTTTGGATGCGGGGTATAGACCCTCTTTGATCCACTTTTGTACTTCCCGGTTTCTTATGGATCCATCTTGTTCTCAACGAACTTTTGAAGTTTTTGAACCTCTCTTGTACGAAACCTTCAAACGATCTTCTCTTTTCTGGATCATCAGGAATATTAAACACACTCTGTAATATTAGCAAACATACATGTTAGTCAACGGCAAAACAAAGAAAAAAAAAAACAAATTGCATAGCCACCCTAGGCAGCTGCACAGCCACCATGGGCAGGCTGCACACCCACCCTAGGCTGCTGCACAGCCACCATGGGCAGGCTGCACAGCCACCCTAGGCAGCTGCACAGCAGCCCTGGCAGGCTGCACAGCCAGCCCTGGCAGCTGCACAGCCACCCTGGGCAGCTGCACAGCCACCCTGGGCAGCTGCACAGCCACCCTGGCAGGCTGCACAGCCAGCCCTGGCAGGCTGCACAGCCAGCCCTGGCAGGCTGCACAGCCAGCCCTGGCAGGCTGCACAGCCAGCCCTGGCAGGCTGCACAGCCAGCCTAGGCAGCTGCACAGCCAGCCCTGGCAGCTGCACAGCCACCATGGGCAGCTGCACAGCAGCCCTGGCAGGCTGCACAGCCGCCCTGGCAGGCTGCACAGCCGCCCTGGCAGGCTGCACAGCAGCCCTGGCAGGCTGCACAGCCAGCCCTGGCAGGCTGCACAGCCACCCTGGGCGGCTGCACAGCCACCATGGGCAGCTGCACAGCCACCATGGGCAGCTGCACAGCAGCCCTGGCAGGCTGCACAACCACCATGGGCAGCTGCACAGCCACCATGGGCAGCTGCACAGCAGCCCTGGCAAGCTGCCAACCACCCTGGGCAGCTGCACAACCACCATGGCAGGCTGCACAGCCACCATGGGCAGGCTGCACAGCCACCATGGGCAGGCTGCACAGCCACCATGGGCAGGCTGCACAGCAGCCCTGGAAGGCTGCACAGCCACCCTGGAAGGCTGCACAGCCAGCCCTGGCAGCTGCACAGCCACCCTGGGTAGGCTGCACAGCCACCATGGGCAGCTGCACAGCAGCCCTAGCAGGTTGCACAGCCACCCTGGGCAGGCTGCACAGCCAGGCTAGGCAGCTACACAGCACCCGAGGCAGAATCTTCATGATTTTGGTGAATGCACGTTAATTTCGGTGAATGCACGTTAATTTCGGTGAATGCACATTGATTTTGGTAAATGCACGTTAATTTCGGTGAATGCACATTGATTTTGGTTAATTACGGTCAATGGACATTGATTTGGTTTAATTAGGTTAGTTAATTTCGGTGAATGCAAAACACTTACCATTGTATCATCCCAAAACAGTTGAAGCAACCCCTTCGGTATCTCTGCCCAGTCAAGTGTGATGGGTATTTACGAGTCAATATCCCAATGTGTGTGGAATATTTGCTGCGCCATTCCCCGGTAGGTTGACCCAACTCGTCAAACTCAAGAATCATGGGCTCCCCGGGTTTCTTAAAGGCTTTTGTTGCACCCCTAACCTTTCTCTTCCCCGGTGCCTTTCCACCACCACTGTTTTTCACTCCACGTTGCATTTGTCCTTGTGAATCTTGTACAAACTCGGAGACAATATTATCCGTAATAGGGGGGGCACGGTCAGCTGTCATCTCATAAGCATCAAGCCTACGCTGCAAGTCATCATGAGCTTGGTCTTCTGGTTCACCCAAATCTTGCTCCTTGTTGACATCATACAACTCGTCACCAGATTCTGAACTACCAATGTCTTCATCATCCATATGCTCTTCGATGTGAAGATATTCATCACCTCCCATTTTATTCAGACACCTACCACCACAAGAAACGCAAATAATTAGTAATTAGTAACATGTTTACAGGTTGAAAATGCTTACAATTAATTGATTTCATACTAACGCAAGGTTGTATGAGCGAAATAAGTTCAAAATGGCAAAAATGAGCTACTAACTTTCCCAACTTCTTTGTTTTCATTCCTAAATCACATATAATCCTTCTAATAACTCATATTTGGTATACACAACATGTTTAAAGGCTAATATGCTTACAATTAATTGATTTCATACTAATGCAAGGTTATATGAGCAAAATAAGTTCAAAATGGCAAAAATGAGCTACTAACTCATATTTGGCTGCACAACATGTTTACAGGTTGAAAATGCTTAAAACATTGTACCTCATTCGAGTATTCCCTCATTGTGGTCTGATCGAATATAATTTGTATCCTTTTCTACATCATTTGTTACATCAAGTGTAGGGGCGGTGAAAGGGGGCGAGTCATCAAACGCATCATATTCGTCCTCATCTTCAACATCTCCAACCCCTAAAATTCTTCTTTTGCTAGCAAGGACGATGGACCATCTTGGATCGGCTGGGTCGGTTACATAGAACACCTGCTTAGCTTGAGATGCAAGGATGAATGGTTCCAAACTATCCCGCAAGTGGCCAAGGTCTACAAGAGTGAAGTCATCATGTTTGACGTTGCGCCTAATGTTATCGACCCATTTACACTTAAATAGGCCTACCTTGAACTCACGGTAATCTAGTTCCCATATTTCCTGAATTCGTCCGTAGTAGGATAATTGTGCGTCAACCGGTGATGTATCCCTTGCACTTGCAAACTCTCTTGATGATGCCACAAGAGTGACACCACTATTTTGAGTTGATGATGATTTCTGATCACGATGCTCAGTCCAGAATGTATACCCATTTATGTCATATCCCTCAAAAGAATAAACATCTTCCTTTGGACCATAAGCTAGCCACTTTATAGTATCAGAGACACTCTCATCCAATTGACGCATAACTCGATCATGGAACCACATCACAAACATCTTATTATGCAATTGCATTAGTGCCCTTTCCCCTTTTGATGGAAATTCCGCACGCAAACTATCCATGTGCTCTTCTAAATATGGGTGAACCTCCGCAACATGATGAAGCACAAATAGGTGATCTTGCAAGAACTGATCATGAGTAGGTGAGATCCGTTTCTGCCCGAGTGTGCCATGACCATCAAGTCTCCCTTCATGTCGGGAAGTGGGAAGCCCAATTGGTTCAGCAACAGCAACATACTCCGCCACGAAATTACCAATCTCCTCTGCCACAATCCCTTGAATCATACTACCTTCTGGATGGGCAGGATTCCTGACTTTATGTTGCAATGTGCCCATGTGTCTTTCAAAAGGATAGCACCACCTCATAAAGACTGGACCGCACATCTTGATCTCACAAACCAGATGAAGAACCAGATGCACCATTATGTCAAAAAAAGACGGTGGGAAATACATCTCAAATTTGCACAAAGTTACAACTACATTCGCCTGGAGAGCATCAAGAGTAAAAGGATCTAGCACTTTGCTGCAAATGGTATTGAAAAACGAACAAAGGCTTGTAATAGCTTCTCTCACATGCTTCGGTAGAATACCACGAATTGCAATCGGTAAGAATACTTGCATCATCATGTGACAATCATGTGATTTCATACTAGTCAACTTCATTTCCCCATTTAAAGAGACGAATCTTTTCATGTTTGACGAGAAACCAGATGGAACCTTAATGTTATACAAACAAGCACAAAACTTTCGTTTTTCTTCCTTTGACAATGTGTAACAAGCTGGAGGTAAATAAACCTTTTCATTCTTGCCTTTTCCAGCATCTTTGTTATTTGATACACTGGTGCCCTTTCCTTTGCGCTCCCCTGTACGCCTTTTTCCACCATATTCGTTTTCATTTTCCATTACCTTAGCCTTCACTACCTTCGGTTGGACCCACAATTCTGGACGAACCCCCCATGCTTCCAAATCTAATCGCGCGCTCTTTCCATCCTTTGTTTTACCATGAATACCCATAATTGTCCCAACAACTGCATCACAAACATTCTTCTCTATATGCATCACATCGAGACAATGTCTAACATCATGTTCTTTCCAGTACTCAAGCTTCCAAAAGATCGACTCCTTTTTAAAGAGAGCATGTGGGTCTAAAGGTTTCGATGTTTTACCAAAAACAGTTGATATACCCTTCACTCGACTATACACCTCATGTCCACTCAATGGCTTAGGAGCAGCCCCCTCTTCTACTTTCCCATTGAAGGCCTTTTTCTGCCGACGATATGGGTGATCGCGCCTAAGCAATCTTCGGGTCCTCACGTACACATCTTTGCCGTAGTGTTCAAGGTACACGTTTGGTGTGTCATCGATACAAATAGGACATGCTTTATGCCCTTTGTTCTTATACCCAGACAGGTTGCCATATGCGGGAAAATCATTAATGGTCCACATAAGGACTGCACGCAAGAGGAACATCTCGTTCTTATGGGCATCAAAAACAGAAACTCCTTCGTCCCACATCTTTCTCAAATCATCAACAAGGGGCTCTAGGTAAACATCTATGTCGTTTCCAGGTTGCCTTGGACCCGTTATCAATAGTGACAGCATCACATATTTTCGTTTCATGCACAACCACGGAGGCAAGTTGTAGATCACTAAAAGTACCGGCCATGTGCTATGTTGGGTACTAAGAGTGCCAAATGGATTCATACCGTCGGTGCACAACCCGAGCCTTAAATTTCTGACTTCATCACCAAATGCCCTAAACTTCATATCGATGTTCTTCCAATCCGGAGAGTCAGCCGGATGCTTCAGCAAACCGTTTTTCTTTCTTCCCTCTGCATGCCACCTCAAGTTCTTAACATCTTTTGATATTGAAAATAGACGCTTGAACCTTGGAATGATGGGAAGATACCATAAAACCTTGGCAGGAGGTCCCTTCATTCCAGCATTGCAGCTCTTTCGCTTGTAACGCGACTTACCACAACGTGGACACTCCTCCAACTCTTCGTATTCATTTCGATAAAGAACACAATCATTAGGACATGCATGTATCTTCTTATACTCCAAACCAAATGGACACATGAGTTTCTTTGCATAATAGTAGGACTTAGGAAGTTCATTCCCATCAGGCAACATGTCACATAACACAGTCAACAAAGAAGTAAAACTAGTGTCACTCCAGTTATACTTTGACTTAATGTTAAAAAGTGTTAGCACAGCTAAGAGTTTGGTGTATTTTTTGGACCCAGGATACAATGGCTTTTTGGCAGCCTCTGATAATGACTCAAATACATCACATCGGTCACCAAATTCACCTTCAACATTATGCATCATCTCATCCAAGTGATCACCACCACCGTCCTCGATCTCATCCCCTTCTCCACCATCATCATCCCCATCTCCACCATAATCAAAACCATATTCATCTTCCGCACGAATCTCGGCACTGTTATCGTGCGTATCATTCCCAACAACATTCTCCCTATACGATCCCTTTTCACCGTGCCAAACCCACACATGATATTGAGGCCTAAACCCATGACATACCACATGATCCCTTATTGTATCAACACTGTCGACCATTGTCACATTATTACAATTGACACAAGGACAATAAAGGTCATTCACACCCGTTCTGATCTGATATTGTGAAGCACTCTCGCAAAACTCTTGGACCCCATTAAAGAATTCTAACGTATCACGTCTACCATACATCCAACCGCGATCCATCAACGCTTTAAATTGCCTTTATACATACCAACACATTATAAATAATGTATAAATGCAACATATAATCAAAGTACATAGTATGTATTTATATCGTTCATGCATATAGTGTACAAAATGAATGCGCCCAAAAGGTCCTTATCACTCCAACCTAACCCATCCTTGAACGTCTAATCTCACTAGTGAATGTATGCCAACTTTCCAATTTTAAGGAAAATTCGGCAGCATTTCGCCCCAGTTCTCCAAGTACACAATGTAGGTAAATAATTACCTACATATGCACCCGGAGAACATGGATACGAAATGCTAAACCGAGATATTCCTTAAATTCGAAAAACAGACATACATTCACTACCTAAGTGAGATTACACGTCCAAGAACAGTCCCAACCGGGGACTATTCAAGACTTCCTCCTAATGAGAAAGACTCGAACGAGTATCTAGGCAAATGAAGATGCAAGCATTCAATAATTTGCATTTGTTTGACATTTAACAAAACACAAGTTCAATCATTCATATAATGCTAATTGGACTACCTACAAGCAAACTAAGCTTACTTACAATCCATTCATTAATTCATCACTTTTTAGCTACTAAATTCAAACAACTTATAACATTATACAATTAAGGTAACAATGAACATTTTGTATACAAATAATTAATAAAATAATTAACATAAATTTGATTAACTAAAATTGAAACCCTAAAATTTGGGAAATTGTTGACAATATATAGATAATGAAGTAAAATTAAGCATGAACTAACCCTAAAAGAAGGAATGTGGGGTGAGAGGGAGAGATGTGGTGGCCTGGTGGTGCGTGTGAAGGTGAGAGGGGCAGCACCTACGCAGAGGATCGCAGCAATGGAGGCAGCAGGGGCAGCACGCAGAGGGACGCAGCAGCACGACGGAGGGCGACTGTGGTGGAGGCGGCGACGATGCTGCAGCAGCACCCTATCGTGGTTGTGGTGGTCGGAGCAGGAGCACCCTATTCCTAACAACAAAAAACCGTGAAGCACGACAATTGTGCAAGCACTCAATGAACAAATTGAAGGTTGTTGTTGTGGTGGGTATTAGAAGCACGACAATGGTGGTTGTGGGCTGCTGTGTGACGGTGTGTGAAAGTGAAAGAGGAAGCGAATTGAAGGAGGGAATGGAAGCAGCAGGAGGGAATTGAAGAAGGAGGGAATGAAGGAAATGACGAGGGAAGGGTTCAAGTTTAAAAGCCGGTTTTTTTTTTAAAAACAAATAGGAAGCGGTTTGAACCGCGTCTCTTTACTTTTTAGAAGCGGTTCAACCCAAACCGCTTCCAATTCCCCTCTTGTTTTTTTTTTTTTTTTTAATTTCCCGGGATTTTGTATGGAAAAGGAAGCGGATTCCAATAACCGCTTCTAAATACTGGCTTCCCATTACCTATTTTCTACTAGTGAAATAGGGATAACTTTGCTTTTGGTGTCAATCTTTGCTTAATTTTGAAATCAATGAGATTTTCTCTCTCTACCCATAATTTTTGTGATTATTGAAATCTATATGTGATTTCTCCTCTAATCTTTTCCCTACTTTGTGTTAGGCTTTGATTAATCTCTTATTGCATCAAACTTGGTGATTGATGTGATAAGAATTTATCTTATTATTTGTTCTCTATCAAATTACATCTTGAATATTGAAGTTTGGATTGAAAATTGGTTTTTGTTGGTTATTTCATATTAGTTTAGCTCAATTTTCTACAATGTAAGGTTTGTTTGACCTAAGCACTACATTCAACGTGTTTGAGTCCGTAATTAATCAAGATTAAAGTGTTGGCATATTTTAAACCTAATTAATAAGAGGATCGGGCTTTAAAATGATTTGGTCTCAAAAATGAGTTTTAGATTACTTCAAACATTACATTCCGTAGTCCATAAACACTTCAACTTTAATCTAGCCTGAAAAATGGGTTTTTGTATCATTATCACACTCCCTGTCGGAACTGGAGGCCAAAATTAGGTGTTTGCAGTTCTACACTAACAAGCTCACAAAATTGACACTTTAAAAACTAATTTTATTAATGAATCAATGGTGATCCATATATAAGCTAATACCTGAACCAACCCAACTTTTAAATAGCCCAACTCAATATGAACTAAACTCAATATAACCAGGCTAAACTTCTATACTTCCTGATCGTGTCAACCAAGACCGAATATGACTTGACCCAATTACAAACTCGATTAAAAATTAATCAAATTGAACCGTTTTGATAGGTTATTATTATTATTATTATTATTATTATTATTATTATTATTATTATTATTATTATTATTATTATTATTATTATTATTATTATTATTATTATCTCAAAAAAGACAAAGTCATACAACCTACAACAAATTAGTGGGAAGCCGAGATACAATCTGGGCCCCCACTCCTCTAGCTATAGAAAATCCTATTCTAGTGAATATATGAGCAACAACACGTGCCCCAATGTCTTGAGTCTTCGAGAACTTTTGGATCCGCTTGAGCAATGCAACCGCCTCCTTCTCTAATTCCCCAAGTGTAGAGAAAAAGCAAGAAAGGGAACCATATAGAGCTGTCAATTTGGGTAAACAGGTCGGGTTTGGGTCGGGTAAGTGTGGGTCGGGTCAACTTGGGTCGGGTCATTTCGGGTTAATGTCGTAACCTATACGGGTCGGGTTGGGTCATGCTTGAGTCGGGTAACGTCGGGTCATACATCTTATCGGGGTTTGGGTCGGGTTAATAACAGGTCGGGTTACATTCGGGTTGGGTGAATAATAGGTCGAGTTTGATTCGGGTTTTCACGGGTTAAAACGGGTTAGGGTTATTCTCGGGTTCAAGTCAGGTTCAATTCAAGTCAATAATTTGCGGGTTATAATCAGGTCGGGTCATTCTCGGGTTTAAGTCGGGTTCGGTTCAAGTCAATAATTTGCGGGTTATAATCAAGTCGGGTCATTTCCAAGTCGGGTCATTCTCGGGTTCAAGTCGGTTTCGGTTGAAGTCAATTATTTGCGGGTTACAATTAGGTCGGGTCATGTTCGGGTTCAAGTCGGGTTTGGTTCAAGTAAAAAAATTGCAGGTTATAATCAGGTCGGATCATTTCCAAGTCAGGTCATGTTCGGGTTCGGGTCTCAAATTGGGTTAATCTGGGTATCAGGTTGATTTCAAGTCGGTCATATCAGGTTCGGGTACATTTTTTGGGTCGGTTTGTTAACAGTTCATGTAATGACATTCACGTTTAATCATTATCAATTACTTCATTTATTGTAAGAGAAAAAATTTCAGATAAGTTTAAATTCGAGGTAATAAGTTCTAATATTTAGATAAGATCTACATAATAAGTTCATATTAATTCCAATAAGATAGGTTTAGTTTAGATTTTTAGAAGATAAGTTCAAACCCTATTCTAATCTATTCACATGATTCCACTCATTTTGGGGATAACATTTTCAGATAAGTTCATATCCGAGATGACATGTTTAGATAAAATACAATAAGTTCATATAAATTCGGATAAAATAGGTTTAGTTTAGATAAGTTAAAATACAATAATTTTTTTTTCTAAACTTATTTTATTTGAAATTATCTAAACTTGTTTATTTTTTATAAGTTCATATCCGAGTTCACGTTTTTTTTAATGGCATTTTTTTTAACATTTAAATGGCATTATTCAAAACATTTAATAAGATTAAATTGGCAAATGAATAATAAAATTAGAAAAATAAAAGACCAATAAAAGCCTGTTAACAGCTCTAGTTCGGGTCACCACTTTCTCGAGTCCAGACAAGTCAAGTCATGATCGGGTACATGTAAATTATTTGGGTCAGCTTATCATCGGGTCATTGTCATATACTCGTGCTCGCATTCAATCATTATCACGTTCAATTCAATCATTATCCGAAATTATTATTGTTTTTAACTTTTTTTTTATTTGAATTTTTTTTTTTAATAAAATTTAAGATAAAACAAACAAGCCTAAGGTCAAATAGTATTTGTAAACCGTAATTGACTACATTAATGCACATGCACCTACAAAGTAGTAGTATTCGTAAACCATAATTGCTTAATTGAAATATAGAATGAACTTACACCTAAAAAGTAAAAGTATTCGTAAATCGTATTACTAAATTTAAATAAAGAATGCACATGCATCCAAAAAGTAGTGGTATTAATAAATTTTTATAGGTTTTTTTGAGACATATAAATTGTAATACATTTGATAATAGAGAATTTTATTGAAAATATTTGAATAAGCTTAAATAGGAAAATAACTCATAGAATTAGGGGAAAAAAAATATGACGTAATCCTAGATTGCTAGTTAATTTCGGGTCAGTAACAAGTCGGGTTGATTTCGGGTCGGGTTAGTGACATATCGGGTTAAATTCGGGTCGGGTTAGTAATAGGTCGGGTTAAATTCGGGTCGGGTTAGGAATATGTCGGGTTAAATTCGGGTTTTGACGGGTTAAAACGGGTTTTGGGTCAATTTCGGTTCAGGTCGGCTTCGGTTCAAGTCAATATTTTACGGGTTATATTCGGGTTAGGTCATCTCCAGGTCGGTTCATGTTCGAGTTCGGGTCTCAAATACTCGGGTTAACTCGGATCTAAGGTTGGTTTCAGGCCGGGTCATATCGGGTTCGGGTCATCATTTTTTCGGGTTTAGACGGGTCGGTTAATAATCGGGTTCGGGTAGGTATTTCGGGTCGGGTCAGCTTTTGACAGCTCTAAAACCATATCCAATTGCCCGACAACTGGATTCGTACTTGACCCATTTTCGATGAGCTGCATCAGCCACAACCCTTCCGAGAACAAAGTTAGATAACCTAGATTGTGTCAAAGGAGAAGACCCTGTCAAGTCAACACAGAC